CCCTCACATTGCTATATAGGCAGCTGACAGTGAGTCTAACAACCTCAGTGTGTTGTGGGGTAGTTGACGTGAAACTGTCTGCTGGTGGGGGTCTTATTGTTGGGACTAGTTGGCCGATTCCGATAGAACCGGCCCGTTGTAGTTTTTTCCCATGGATTTAGGCAGGACACTTGGGTGACGCAGACTGTTATTCTCATAACTGCATCACTCTAGTGTTACTGAGGCTCGGGGACGTAATAAAGCCTAAGTTTGCTGCCTCATTATAGTTCGGGGTCTGCTTTCGCAGCAGCGTAGGTGTCCTCCCATTTTTCCCTTGGTCTCATACCACCGTTGAAGTGCTATGGACAACTGCTCCGGGGAGTTGAATGTGACACTTATCATCTTTGGAGAGCTAATCAGTGTGAGATGAGTGGGGCGAGGTATTCGGAAAATGGATATGGCTCTAGAAGCGCCAAGGGCCATCTGAGATGACAGCTCTACGTCGTGCTTGTGTTTTTTCACGAGCAGTGCCGGTTTCCAGCTCCGGAACACCATGTACCACTATAGAGGTAGGAGGCATCAGTTCCGGTGACTCCCTCGCCATTTGTCTGATAGCCCATGTTCTGTCTTGTCTCACTCTTATGCTGGAACTTCTGTCCATAGCTAGTACCTGGGCCATTAATGGTACATCTTCGGCCTCTTCGGCAGAGTCCAATGGGGATGGCTTACCCTGAGGCGTGTGGACACCCCTGTACAGCCTGCACAATTTTGCTGAACTAATGTTCAGACCTAATTTATTGCACAGTTTGGACCACTGTTCCTGGCCAAACAGGGCCCGTTGTTCGAGCAAGCTATCCTCGCTCACAGGTTCGTTAAAGAGGATAGGAGAGTTAGACCGGCTAACCTCAAATTGGGTTTGGCATTTCGCTGCTTGCATTCCTTCACAGCATGAACAACATTAGGCTTCACCAGGATCTAGCCAGCCTTTTTTGTGTTGCCAAGCTTGCTAGTGGATGCAATTTCGTAATTCTGTCTTCCCCTGATGTGGGTGCAACCTTGTGAATCTTCACCTTGTGAAAATTGGCATTTCCAGTCAGCAAAACTGGTGTGTCCTTCTTACAGTCTTTGCCAAGTTTTGGCAGTGTGATGTTGGCAAGTGGGGAGCTGCATGAGACTGTGTTGGGACACAAGAGCGGTGTGTTGTTTCTGCTATCCGCAGACACGCCTTGTGGGACTATGCCAGGGCGACAAAGTGAAAAAATGTACAAAAATCACGGGCATGGGTTATTTCTCATAAACTCGTAGAATGCTTTCAGTACCTCTTTGTCACAACGGCAGTGCACCCATCGTTTGCAAATTTGCATTCAAACGCTGAGTCAGGTTTAGAAACTATGATACTATACGCCTGACATTCATCTTGCTTCCTTGATGACAGCCTTCGAGGCCTTAATAAAAATAATAAATAATTATGACGTCTTGAACGTTTCCTTCTAGGTTTGCTGTGTTTCACAAACTAGCCTTCAGTTGATGCGGGTGTAGTATCCTGTTCCCCTGGCATTGCCTGTGGCGTTTCAGTACTAGACTTTGGCAATGGAGGCGTAGTATCAAGACAGACGAAACCTACACGAGTCTTTAGGATCGGTATGTGGGAAGGGGTTGAAGTCTCTGGGTTTTTTCCTTCTCTGGCTGAAGCCCTTGTGACTAGAGAGTATGGTGTTTTAGTGGCTTTTCCAAGGCTACTTTCGACAACCATATTAGCAATCAGTATGAGCTATAATAATAATTTTATATTTTCATAGAAACATAAATGTACATGAAAATGCATGCCATTTTTACAGGCACGATCAAGTATGGTATAATCTCAAATCGTAGATTGCCTACAAATTAATGTTTCAACAGTTAAATATTTGATATATATATATATATATATATATATAATTACACTCATTGTCTGAACCAGGCCGTATAGTTATTGAATTGTACAGTTGTCCTCCAGGTTGGGAGGGAAAATCGACTTCGTTTTTTTTTCATCCCGTGGTTGTAGGCATACGATAACCAACCAATATTGAGGTAAGTACAACGTTTACAAGGGATTGAAAACTGTTTTAGAAAAGTAAAAGTGCTAAGGTGAATCATTAAAGTATAATAGATTAAGTGAGTGAAATATATCATTAATAAACACATTTATGTCGAAAACAGAATGGGGAAGTAATTAATCCTTAGGCCGACAACGTTCATTTGCAAAGTATAATAATGTGTAATTATGCTATAAACGAATAAGAAAACAACAGTATCTACCCAAAAGAACGGGAATAAGACTGAAAAAGTACAAGACAAGGAAAAGAAAAAATTTTCGACTTTACCTAGTGTTTTCTGGATGATCGGCTTTACATCAATCACATGGTAGATCAACAACTCTTGTTTGTCTGAACGAGTGAGGAAGATGCTGCTACAAAAGTAGTACCTGAAGCTTTAGCAGTTGTTCGAGACAGCTGGACCTACCACACAGAGATTCAATATATAAGTAATGGTTGAATTTAATTCCCGGCTAGGGAGATCAGGTTTCCCAAGTGGACAATTCACGAAATTGGTATTTTCCGGTTAGAGGGGAAAAGCACGTCGTATTCAAGGAGCACGCTAGTCAGATCCAAAGTTCTTGGCCCTATTCTATTCCTCTTATTTATAAATGACATAGTCTCTGTAATCAAGTACGGCAAGCCATACCTTTATGGAGATGATCTCAAGATAGTATATGATTATGGGTATGGTGAAATGAGCGTCGAAAGCAAGATCCAACAAGACTTAAACGATCTAGGCGATTGGCGCGAAAAGTGGCAACTGAATTTCAACCCAGACAAGTGCGGTATAAGCCAACTTGGACACTGGAAACCGATAATGTGCCTATATATGTACGGTAAGCTCCTCTCAAAACTTAACACGGTCACAGATCTCGGGATAACACTCAGATTTATCCTTTTCCGATCATGCAAATAAGGTTGTATCTGACTGTAAACGACTTACTGGTTTTGTACTGCGTAACTTCTACACCCAAGAAGCAAGATTGGCTATATATAGGACATGTATCCGTCCCAAACTTGAATATTGTGCTCTTCTATTTAGTAACCTCAGGTCTGTAGAGAGAAAAAAAATCGAAAGTGTCCAGAGATTCCTCACGAAACGCATAATAGGGTTTGACTAGCAAGTGGATTGTGTCGACAGATGTAACCGTCCGAAGTTAGAATCTCTGTGGTTAAAAAGAGTGAAGTACAACTTATTTCTACTCTTCAAAGTCACTAGGAAACATAATTATAGTAACTCATCCATAACGTGGGAAAATATTAAATCATATCAACTGCAAAACTACAACTACCTTGTCAAGGTGGCTACCGACAGAAAATCCATTAGGGCAAACTTTTTTCACCATTAAATGTTGCACTCTTTGGAACCCACTTCCACCTGAAATTATATGTTGTGAAAACCCGATGGTTCAAACGGAGCCTGGAAAATCACATTAACATGTCCACCCTAGCTCGTCTAAAAGATCACAACTGTTGGTAGAACGGAAATTGAAGGCCAGTCCAGTCTTCAGTATAGTCCCTTACGTATAACTCGACTCAAATACTTACGCAGCGAACGTTTAACTAATTTACTGATTTCTATTCTCTATAATTTCCACTAAGTTATGTTGGTATAAATAACTCTCGAAATAATTATACTAGCAATCACACTTTTTAATATTTTACATTTTTATATACAGTTAATAATGCAATGCTATTTTTTGTGTCGAAATGACTTGACTCAGTCAATAGCTACCTTTTCTCATATACTTTTCTAAACCGTAGAATTTGTATAATAATTTGCTGTATTTTTAACATTATATAAGTTGAAGGGTTACTTTGCTATGTCTAATGCATACCGTACGAAAATCAGTCATTAAAATTTGCACAACTAGCTCTATTAACCGGCTAGTTTCTTCAGCATCATAATGGATAATTTTATCACTAATTGTTCCACTACAAATTTTACTATGCTGAATAGACTATAACTTATTTGCTGTAATGCAGGCTACTTCTATACTTTATACTTCTTAAACCAAACGCGTTCATAAAAAACACTTGTATACACGTATGCATGTATAAAGGTGATATTGCTAAGAATGTCCTCAGATGTCGATGTATCCGGTGACCCAATAGAAAGCATTTGTCATGAAGGCTATTGATGTGCAGCATACTATTTGACTGCGACGGGCTCAAGGCTATGCAGTGCTGCAACTAAAGTTATCGCAAAAAGTCTCAGAGCCTAAAAGGTGGGAGGTTAGCTCATGCTGATCAGCAAATATGGTAGTGGTCACAAATGTGAATCGCTCCGATCTGTAGGACAGTAACGGGCACTTTTTGACAGCTCAAGAATTAAACATTAGTCTGCGACCTCAACAAAAAATAATAAGGGTTGTACAGATCTAAAAAGCATTTTGCTCCTACTGTCTACAAGCCTGTTCAGATTCTTGTCAAGATGCTACCCATTGGGCCCTACAGAAATTCGTACGCAAAACGCACACTAATCATGTCTGTTATTGTTATCTCTTCTTTTGTTAACAACTTTTGGGGACTAACTGGTGAAAAGATCAACTCCATTTCTAGTAGTAACATGGTCTCAACACACCACGTACTACGAGCAACAACAATCCTAGCACCACTCCTTTTGGATTCAACTTAAGCCACGACAGTCGATTGGCGAGATAAACTACTACCGAAGACCAGGCACTTTAACCTCACAATCAAGAAGCGAGAACAAAGAAATCAAGCTGGTTTACACTAGTTCGTAAAAATGACATTGGATGGCCAGCGGAATCCTATTTTTAGGTACATCTCTGCAGTGCCGGATGTATACTCTTCTACATAAAGTATGACGAAAGATTTCTTCAGAAAAGCATTCTAAAAATTAAAGTCAACTACACTTATTTAGCAAGGATAACACTTGTTGATATGCTTGAAATTTCACATATCTGACCTTGCGCGATTACAGTTTGTAGGTCGTCTGAGGATGCCCGTGCTAAGCCCGTTGGAATTTCGTGATTGTGTTGTGGATAGTCCAAACTTCAGAAAAGCTTTGTCAGACCATGAGGCTGACTTAAAAACGGCGAACAGAAAAGTTAAAAATGTATTGGTGAACACCAGAAGAGTGTTTGAAGCTATGGAGAGTAAGCTATGAGTGATATATTAGTTTGAATTTTATTCATTTGTTAAATATTTCGACTATGAAGTTGGATTAATTATCAAGTGGATTTACGAAAATCGTCAGTCTCTTAATTGCCTGTATATTTCAGTCAGTGAAGAAAGAATGCTAGCTAAAATTTAAGCTAAAGTTGAGCAATTAAGTGCTGAAATTTTCTGGAAAAAAAGCAATATATACGCTAAAATAACGTGGCTAGTCCGGAATATAGCATAGAATGCTATTTAGTGTGTAGATTTGTTCTACTTCAGCATATTTGGATTATATACTCATAATAGTAGGTTTTACCAGCATAATATTTGCATTGTTGGAAAGTCAGGTAAACGTACAATGGGTAAATGCAGCTACAAAAGCGTATACGGCCTTTCAGAGAAGTGTTATTAGAATCTTATCAGTAGTTAAATTTCGTCTTAATATTTCCAGAAATTATATCTATTAGTTTTGACATGTGAGAGTGCTTCATAATCGTGTACTGCATTACGAGAGGTATATTTACTTTCGTTTACCTTAGGAATCCTTAATTACTTAATTAATCATCATTTAATTGTTTTCTCTTCGACGCAAACTTGTCCATTGTAGTACCATTTTCTTTTTGTTCACTTACTTTAAGTGTGGCCTATGAAGGTGCATGAACTGGAACTAATACATAACTTTGTCACGTATGTTTATTTTCCACTCGAAAACTCATAATACTTATTCCCAAGTCACAAAGTGCAAAGGTGTTTTAAGTTTAAGGTTTAACAAAATTTCTTCCAGTTCACTCCACTCTATATTGGGATTGATAAAAGCAAATTTTTACATAGTAGTCTTTGAAATGGAGTGTAGGAAGCACATGTGATTTCAATGCAATTTGAGTTCAGATGATGGTGTTAAAGTAATACTATTAATAACATGGGTATGGATCTGAAGCATTATTCATAAAACAGAATAGAAACATAACGGAGAGACTTTTGAGTTTATGAAGATGGCGTAGATGTGTGTTGTTGCGACCAGTTAGGCGGTACGTTAGCTTAGGTTTCAGTGTATTGAGTTCTATAATTACATTTAACTCAGTTTAGAAAACGGGCGATGGTGTCGAGTTTTAATATGGAATTATAATCCAAGCGTAATCAGCTATGAAACTCATCTTTGCATGTTGTCACGGAATAACACGTATATACACCAGTTCGGTAGGTGGAAGTTTACTATGCTCTCGAATAACACACATTACTAGCATGGAACTGTCCACTTACTAGTGATGATTATATATTTTCTTTGGTCGTTATTAGAAAATCATTTCGCTTACGGGTGTCAGCGGTTCAAATTGTAAAGATAGTAGGGTTTTGTGACCTCTGTTAATCCTTGCAATATATACCTCTGCTGAGATCTAGCTGCTCTTTGAAAGCGTTCACCTATGGTGCTGATACTACTGAATCGGGTAAGGAATTCCAGTCATTTACTGCTCTGTGAACGAATCTAAATTCCACACGTATTTCATTGGTCCTTGGTTTGAGCTATTTTTTGTGGTGATCTTGTAAATGTATGCTAGAGGGGGGAATGTCTGTCTGTCTGTCTGTTTTCGACATAGAACTTTGCACAAATGTGCGGAAGTTCAAGTCGCCACACTCCGTGTAGCACGCGAAGCAAGAGAAGAAAGTACAAGAAAAGCATAATAGAAACAGTGAGCAGAGGTGTGAGACAAAGGAGTAATAACGAAGAACAAAACAGTTTCATTGGAGATCATAAGTCACAAGGAGTGGATGCATCTGCGCCACTGAGAACGATTTTGAGCCATGTCACCAATTGTTTCCAACCATTGATTTTTACCGTCCCGAGGACCCCAGCCTGGAAGTCTACACCTTCCTACGCGGCTTAGACCAACTGTTGTGGATTTCACTGACTGGTGCCAAGTTTTTGTTTGACCGCCGCTAGCTTTTTTCCAGCCTGACCCTATATCCGCTAACATTGCTCGTCGAGGGAGGCGATGGCTTGGCATACGTAACACATGTCTTAACCGTCTCAGTCTTTGTAACTTCACGACTTCGTCGATTGATTTCCCCTGTTTACCTAGCACTCGACGCCTAACTTCAATGTTGCTCACCTTATTATGCCACTTTACACGGGAAATAGACCGGAGGCACCTATGATCAAAGACAGCTAGTCTTTTCATGTCTTCCACTCTCAGTGGCCAGGTCTCACAACCATAAAGGAGGACGGAGCGGACTGATGAGCAGTACACCCGCCCTTTGGTCGATAGTCGAACATCTCGTCTACGCCAGAGTCGGCGTAAACTGGCAAATGCGGAACGAGCCCCTGTATCCGTGTTGAGATTTCGTCAGAGATCAGCCCGTTGGGGCTGATGGTACTTCCCAAATAAGTGAAGCGGTCAACGTGCTCTACCACTTCACTCCCTATTTTTAAACTAGGCGTCAATGTAGTCCACAGTCCTGTAACATCATCTTGCATTTGGCGGGAGCGAATCGCATGCCAAACATTCATAGATTGCGGCTCATGGTGTTTAGAAGACTCTGCATTTTGTCAGCGTCTTCGCCTAGAAGGACTATATCGTCTGCATATTCCAAGTCAACGAGATTATTCCCTGACGGTAACAAGTCAATCCCTGAGTCGCTGAAGTCACCTAGGGTTAAGTCCATTAACACATCTATGATAAGGTTGAATAGAAAAGGAGATAATGGGCATCCTTGACGGACACCACTGGTCGTCATCAGTTCAGATGGCAGCTCGCCGTAAGCCCTCACCTGGCTGTATGAGTACGAGTAGAGTTCCTTAATCAGTGCAATATATTTTCTCGGAATTCCCTTTACAGCCAAGCATCTCCAGAGAACTTCTCGATCGACAGAGTCGAATGCTGCCTTTAGGTCAAGAAATATAATGACTGTTGGACGCCGGTAGGAATGCCTATGTTCTAGAATCTGTCGGAGGGTGAAGATATGATCAATACACCCTCTTCCTGGTCTAAAGCCTGCCTGTCTCTCTCGTGTTTGTGCCTCCTGAGCACCACTTAGTCTACGCATGATTATTGAGCCTAAGACTTTAGATACTATATTAGTCAAGCTAATCCCTCTGTGATTATCACAGGAAGACTTGTCTCCCTTCTTGTATATGGGGATAATCAGTGACTTACACCAACCCGATGGGACTTCTTCTGATTCCCAGACGCTGCCTAGTACCCCAGTTAATCCAGACAGTAAGCTGTCTCCGCCGGGGGAATGTTAGAAAGGTCAATCCCCAATTCACCCTTTAATATACAATATGCAGGAGTTAAGTCACCTCTCCGACTTCGGTATGATAATGGGAAGAGATTTCAATGCCCCATGATTTTCTCATAAGGAAGGTGTGAGATGCCACTGACTAATTTGGTGCTTGCCCTCTTGACTCTTTCCAAGTTACTTAATTCCTCATTGAAGCAAAACTCACCGCTTGCATGCAGTATTCTAGATATGTTGCGTTGAGTACTGTGAACAAGAGTGGTTATTTTTTTGAAATTTCAAACTATCATTTATTCGTTTACCTTACATCTTGTGTAGATAAACCAATACCATCTTGATTTGATTACTCACTGAAGACTTAAAGTGGGAGTATTTGTCGTTAAAGTGTAGAAAAATTTCATATTCCTCCATCAACTTTATTTTGATGTCCACTAAAATCAAACCGATAAGTCAGTTTAGCTGTTTGCGTTAAAATGCATCAATTCATATCTTGACACTTCGAAAAAGCACATAAAAGCATGATAGAAGTAGATTAATACTAGAATCGACAGCTGCGTATTGGAAGAAATAATTTAGCGAAGAATGATGAAGTAATTCAGAATTTCTAAGACGATTATGGGTGGAGACTTATCTTTTACGATGGGTGATTATTAATCATTTTGTGGAAAGCCATTAGTTATAGCGTAGTGAGGATGAAAGTCTTACCGATTGTACTTCCATACTTAGGTCAAGCTAACAGTTAATGTGTTTATGGATTATCGCTATAGTTTGGTTTGAACTTACTTTACTCATCTTCAGCTCAATCTTACTTCTACTAACTTTTGTCGTCTAAAGAAGTAGTTGTATTATTATTTACTATTATTTCCTTTAATTCCTAGAGGAACATATGGCTTCAGCCTCACGTCTCCATTGCGTTCGGTTCTCTGCTAAAGTTTTCACCTGGCTCCAAGTCTGCCCACATGCTTTCATTTCCTCTTCACATGACCTCCTCCAAGTCACCCTCGAAATGACGACCAACTAACTCGCCGCTTCCCTTTCGGGTTCTACTCGAGCGATGGCCTGGCGTGTGAATGATGTCACCTGATAGTCTCCTCAGAGTTTGGCCGATCCACCTCCATTTCCTCCTGAATAATTGTTGCACAATTGGTCCCTGGTTGGTTTGCTCCTAGAGATCCCTATTGTTTACCTTTTCCGGCCATCTGATCTTGAGTATTGAGTGAAGACAACTGTTGATGGTCTGTAGTTTGTTTGAGGTGTTCTTCATGACGCGCCATGTCTCTGATGCATAAAGTAGCACTGACTTCACATTAGAGTTGTAAATCTGGATCTTATTTTCATTTTCGTGCTGAGGAGTGCTGTTGACTTCCACACAGGCTTGATAGTAATGACAGCCTGTCTTGCTTTCCCTATCCTCACTGTGATATCTTCGTCAGTTCCGCCCGTAGTTGAAAGAGGTAGTTGTGCTAGATGTTTATTGCACATATCAGTCATTTCGATCAATGTGGATTTCCAATCTTATCGATTGAATTGTGTCTAATGTCAGTATTATTTACCATGTTACTTCACTTGTACAATTGAAATGACTGAATTCCTGTCACTTTTATGTTTCATTGCAGTATAATCGGATAGAGAAAGCTATTGCACAGCAGACATACCTTTTGATGACTAGAACTAAGTCTGGAAAAAACTTTAATTATGATCAAAATCATGCATGAAACTGGTATATAAACCTATAATCTGAATATTGAGGGAAAGTGGA